CAGGTTGAGGGAGGCAAGGTTTCAACGGAAGAAAGAAAAATAGTTAGTGTATACAAGAATTATGACAGGTAAAAACATTTTAACTGTGAATCTTGCAAATACCCCAGTAATTTGTTGGGTTTTTTTTTTATATGCATGTATAAAGCAAGATGCTTTGTTTTTATGCTTTGAAAATCTTTGATATGAATTATGTCAATTTTAATATGCGTTCACATGTTAAATAGAATTCTGTGCAATAGAACAAAGCAAACAATGGAACATTTAGAAAAACACTATACATATGTGTTATAGATTTTAAATTCCTTATTTATATTTTGAATACAGAAACTTTTTTATTCAGAGTGTATATGAAATGTGGAGCAGACAAAGTGTGTGTGGAAGGTTTAGGTGATGGGAAGAAATCTGTCAATCTGGTCCTCTCCAACCTCCCAGATGTGGGTGAGTCAGATATCGATATTAAAATGAAACATAATACTGGCAGGGCTTTATATTTTAATGTAATATAACCCCTCATTCCTATGTTTATTTGTTAAATTGTAACTAAACTTGATCAATTATTTTGAACATTTTTTAAGAAAAAACAGAAGTTACAGCTGTATCTATTGTTTATATTTAAATATAATGATCTCCTATTTCTAGTTGTTTGGAATCCATGGGAAGATAAAGCTAAAGCAATGTCTGACTTTGGGGATGAGGAGTATAAGACCATGATTTGTGTGGAAGCAGGATCTGTATCACAGTCAGTCACAGCTCCAGCGGGGGGATCAGTGCTCTTCACCCAGACACTGAAACTGTGTTAACCTAGAAAGATATAGTGCACAGTAAAACTTGTCTAGTACAGACACCACAGATTCCAAAGAATTGTCTGGATTAGACAACTTTCCAATTAACAAGATTTTGGATTATACAACATCTGGATTAGACAGGTTTCACTGTATTTCCATTGTGCAATATGTTACACACTAAAGAAGATTGGACCATCACATTTCAAGATGTTTTTCTGCTTTTTTATTTATATTCAAATATGTATTTTTCTTACAAATATTGATCTATTTTATATATTCCATATACAAATGTTTATATTAATTATTATTGTCTATATTAGAGTTAGTGTTCTTTGCAAAGTATGTAACCAATTTTCTCCAGTTAGCATTCCTGAACTATTTGCTGATTCTACATACATGTATATGTAGCAACATTATTATGCAGTGGTAGAAATGAAATTAGTGAATGACTCTGAGTGTTGTATACCTGTATGTATATATCAGGAAGCCAAACTCATGAAACAAAAAGCCAAATTCTTGCAACAGGAAGAAAAACTCATGGTTAAAATTTCTTGTCAACTGGATAATTTTCTCTAACCACTTGTTAACTTAAGCATGTACACCCAAGGAAGCTTTGCTGACTGTTAACCAATGGTTAATCATAGATGTCAGATTGGTCTTTGACACCAATATTGGCAGTTGACAAAGTAAAGAAAGGGCATTTACCCACTTACTTCCATCATGATTTTGAAGATTTCTTCCGAACATATATTTTCTGTAAAATCTATATAAGAAATAACAGACATGTTGGGCCACATCTATATCGTCTATCTCTTCGTTCTCATGCCTTGAGTGCATAGGACCAAGGACTGATGACTCTTGGAAACTACACAACTGGATACAACATGAAAATGATTGGTGAAACCATGGATTTTCGTGTATCTAGCATCTCCAGGGGCGTTTGGGATGTTTGAGCTGCGCTATGTGACACTGCTCCACGTTATGTCAAATGGCCCTCTGATTCTGGGGTGTAACCTACTGCTTCCTATCATGGGGTTGTAGGAGTTGTAGATGGGGATCAAAATCCAGTTCCCAAGAAAATTTCCATTCATTAAATGTTGAATGCCATACTGGTAATTTTAGAGTTCTCATAATTAACTAAAGGTACAATTTTCTCTTATTTAAATACGTACTAGTACAATAGGCTGCCACAATAAAGAACTGTAAAATGACGAAACCCTGAAGTATAAGGCAAAATTTGGAAATTCACTGATGATGGTAATAATTTCCATTTGAGTTCTAAAAAATTACAACTATTGGGCCAACCTTGGACCAAAGTACTCATCCCGACTTAGAAGAGAATACTCGTGCTAACATAGGAACAATGTTGGGCCAGTGTTGTCTTCATCTTTACTAACCTCAGATCACCTTCGTATCCCCTTCTTGCCCGCTGATACACCAGGCTCCACTAAGGCCAACGTAATGCTTCCAACTTATGACATCGTCCTTTAGTTCGCAGTTTTTATTAGCTCTATTGGTCAGAGACCAGAAGAGCTTATGCGATAGTAAGGTGTCCGTCGTCCGTCCAGCTATCTAATTGTCAATCTGTCTAGCTATCTGTCTGTCTGTCTGTAAACAATTTTTCAAAACGCTACTGCTCCTACAGTTTTGGTCTGATTTTAATATAACTTGGCACACAAGTAGACTACACTAAGATACATAAAATAGTGCAGAGGTTTTTGATTTCGATGAACGGTGTTGCCATGGTTACTAAAAATAGAATTTTCTGTGAAATTCCTTTAAAACGCCACTCCTCCTACAATTTTGGTTTGATTTTAATATAACTTGGCACACAAGTAGACTATACTGAGATACATAAAATACTGCATCGGTTTTAGATTTCGATGAACAGTGTTGCCGTTGTTACTAAAAGTAGAAATGTCTGTGAAATTCCTTTAAAACGCTGCTCCTTCTACAGTTTTGGTCTGATGACTATGGCTTCTTTTTTCATCCTTTGTTATACGTACAAGCCAGTAGAGCTACAGTCTCGACAGAGACTTCTGGTTGTCCAAAGTTGGACCAATGTACTCACTAATTCTAAAAGAAATTTCAAAAACCAGAAGTCTCTGTGGAGACTGTAGCTCTACTTGTTTATACTTATAACAAAGGAAGAGAAAAGTAGCAGTTGGGACTTTAAACTTTAAACAGCAATAAATAGAAAAATGACCCCTTGATTAATTCACTATTTCTGGCATAATTGCAATCTACAACTGTAGGAGTAGCTTTTAATAAAATTTTAAAGAATTTTCAATTTTAGTTACCAATCCGTGGCAACATCAGTCATCAAAATAAATTTTAAAAAATAGTCTATCTGCATGCCACATTATATTATTAAAAAAATAAAAAATGTATTTGTAATAGCATTTTAAAATTATTTTACAGAAATTTCTATTTTTAGTTACCACGGCAACACCGTTCATTGAAATCAAAAATCGATGTATAGAATTATGTATCTTAGTGTAGTCTACTTGTGTACTAAGTTGTATTGAAATCAGACCAAAACTAGAGGAGAAGTAGCATTTTGAAAGCATTTCACAGAAATTTCTATTCTTAGTAACCACTTCAACATTGTCGAAATCAAACATCGATGCACAGAATTATGTATCTTAGTGTAGTCTTGTGTGCCAAGTTATATTGAAATCAGACCAAAACTGTAGAAGAAGAAGCATTTTAAAAGTATTTCACAGAAATTTCTATTTTTAGTAACCACGGCTACACCGTTCATCGATATCAAAAATCGATACACAGAATCATATATTTTAGTATAGTCTACTTGTGTGCCAAGTTATATTGAAATCAGACCAAAACTGTAGGAGGAGTAGCATTTTGAAAACATTTCACCAAAATTTCTATTTTTAGTAACCACGGCAACACCGTTCATTGAAATCAAACACCGATGCACAGAATTATGTATCTTAGTATAGTCTACTTGTGTGCAAAGTTATATTGAAATCAGACCAAAACTGTAGGAGGAGTAGCATTTTGAAAGCATTTCACAGAAATTTCTATTTTTAGTAACCACGGCAACAAGGTTCATCGAATTCAAAAACCGATGCACAGAATTATGTATCTTAATATAGTCTACTTATGTGCAAAGTTATATTGAAATCAGACCAAAACTGTAGGAGGAGTAGCATTTTGAAAAATTGTTTACAGACAGACAGACAGCTAGACAGACAGACAGACGGACGGAATAAGCTCTTCTGGTCACTGACCAGTAGAGCTAAAAAATCACTTGAGATTTCATTGGGCCAACTTTAGTCCATTTTACTGCTACCAGATGAAAATATCAACTTCGCTAAGGTTGCATTACAAACTTTGTGCTAACGTTGAGCCAACTTTGGACTCCCAACTTCCCTAGAAAGTCTATAAAAACGGAACTGGTTGACGTTGGATCAAGTTGGGCCAACTTAATTAATACATTGTAATCTCAACATGTTGGGTAATTAAGAGATGGTTTACATGGTAACATTGGCCAAAACAAAGTCTATTAAACGCAAACTATCAGCCATCCATACAATCATAAACGGACCTCAGCTCAACGTAGTCATGCTTTCTGAGTATTTCAAGTTTGTTTCAAAATGACAAAATGGGGAAAAGCACAGACAAGTAAATTTTGCTTCAAAATTTGTAAAAGAGTATTAAGACTATTTTGTTGATTCCCGATCATACTATTTCTCTCGCCTTTCGGCAACATATTTTCATTTCTCAGTTTCTCATCCTCGCAATGACGGGGTCCTGAGTCAACACATTGCCGTTGGACCCCAACGACGTCTTGTTGACTCAGGACCCCTGGCATTTCGTGGATGTAAGTTTCTTAGTATGATCAAGAACTTGTTTCGAGACTAATCTATTACATGCCTCGATCCATGATCTTACTACCTTTTATAAAAAAAATAATGACATTAACTTTTTAAAGCATGCAGTGTCCTTTCTCTCTTCAGCATATCTGCTATTAGAATCCAAAGCCGAGCAAAATAGTTACTAGCGTGCGCAATAATAGTGGCGCTCTGAGAATATCGGTAAAAAAAATGTTTATGTGAATACACTGCCTTTTTTTCTAAATACCAATAATGAGATTGTGTATTTTAATATGAGGAGCAAATTCTGTAAACATGGTGTCTGTTTAGTACTGATTTTTATTATTGTGACATGGCTTTTCAGATCCGTTCGTCATTCACGAGAAAAAGAACCCTTTATTGAAATGGCACACAGCATTAAACGCTGTGACAGTGTGACCATTAATTCATGCTCAGGATTTCAGTTGCAGCAAAGAGAATTGTGCCTCGCTTCGAAAATCAATAACCAAAACAAGGCAAACACAATTCAATGGGCAGATGTCATAAATGAATCGACAATTTTATCATTTTTTACGGAAAAGAAATTAGACAATCTGAACATTTTAGTTCATTCTTTTATTGAAATTTGCAAAAAGGAAAATATTCCATTCATGCTGTATGGAGGTTCGCTGCTGGGAACGTATCGACATCACGGTAAAATACCGTGGGACGATGACGTTGACGTTATCGTCAGTTCAAAGGTCAAACGACGACTGCGAAGCATTCTGGAATCTGGAATGTTTCATTCCCTCAGTGTTTGGGGAGATATGTCATCACAATGGAAAGTCTTCAGAAAAAATTATAATCAATGGCCGTTCGTGGACGTCTTCTTTTATGATGAAAATAAAACACACATTTGGGATACGGTTCCACAATATCGAGGACGTTTCGTATTTTCCAAGAGTGATGTATTTCCGCTGGATTACCGTTTATTTAATGGCTTGTGTCTTCCAGTTCCAAAAAATATAAAAGTGATTTTAGAACAGAATTACGAAATTGACCGATGTCAAAGTCCGAAATTTGATCATTTGACCAATAATAGAATTCCTTCCAAGAAGAGAATGAACATTCCCTGTAACAAACTCTTCTCCAGATTTCCCTTTGTCTTCCGTGATCATGTTGATCAAGTGTTTCCCAGCTCGTCGACTTTTATCGAAAGCAAGAAAAACATTGACCAAAGTCAGATTCTGTCAACAGAGACACTAATGTTAAATGACAGTATCATTCTGTATTACCAAAATAATAATAATAAATTTTAGTTAAACCTTGGTCATATCTTTTGAATGAGAAGAAATAGGGCTTTCATATTTAAGATGTGACAAGACCTTTCTTAATACACTATGATTTTTTAACCCGTGATCTTGACCTTAAAGTTTGACTGTGACCTTTTCAGAAACTAAAAGCTTGACCATAACTTTTGAATGAGAAGAGATGGGGCTTTCGCATTTCACAAGTATATTACCTGTGACGAGATCTTTTTAAATACATCAATTTTTTACTCCATGACCTTGAACATTGACGTTTGACCTACTTTTCAAAAATGTTATTTTTCCTTACAACTTTTGATTGAGAAAAAATAGGGCTTTCATATTTGACATGTGCATTTCCTGTGACAAGACGTTACCGAGTATGCTATGATTTATGACCCCTTGACCTTGATGTTAGGCCTTATTTTCAAAAAAAAACTTTGGTGATAACTTTTGAATGGCAAATGAATAGGACGTTCATATTTGATACAATATGCCATAAATGATGACATCTCACCCACAAAGACACCGAAAGCAGGGGACCACAATTCTTTGAATTTGCTTGTTATGGTTTCATACAAATTTGGTATGTCCGCCGTTGGCATGGCTGGTTAAATAAGTCAATTCACAACATGCATATATTTATGGTGATATGCGACTTATCTGTGTATTGCATGTCGACATAATTAGGTTAAATTTAAACAAAATCATACATTGCATCGAAATAAATAAGTCGCATTCCAAAATAATTAAATTGCATATCGACTAAACTCGAATGCCTCCATAATTAATTCGCATGCCAACGTAAATTTGTTACCTCCTGTATGGTATGTCAGATCCTGACGTTGACGTTGGATAGAAAACTGACAATTTTATATCATATTCTCTAAAACAAATTTGTAACTTGCGTTAACTTATTATGGTGTACAATGTATATGACAAAATTATATAGAATGTTAGCATGCTTAATGCATGTTAACAATTTTATGTTCGCATACAGTCGAGTAGCATAAATTCTATCTGGAATCCAACATCGCAGACATGCAAATGTTCACAAAGGCGACGAGGAAATAGGCTAATATTAAGCATTAATCTGTATTTCCCTTTCTCAAATAGCTATTGCATTATTCTAATGCTGACCAGCTCTCTTTAGGCCTAATCATAAAAAAGTTCAGCTAAAAGGTTTATATCCACCTTGCTGTTTTTAAAGAAAGGTTAATCAGAAAGGCCATGACTCTTATTCCGTATCTCTTTAATTTGGATTTATACCGTTCATAATTAACATGTCACTTATGCTTACAATAGAAGTTAATGAGAGTGTATGATTTCATTCTGATGATTTAAAGCGGTCTTTGGACATCGTTTAAATTATTTTCACCCCTGGGAAACCAAACTGCCCGAAACTGTAAAACTTCTACATAATGGAAAGTTTTATTCCTGCAGCCTCAATCAATGCTGTACTGGAGAACTTGAGTAGTAACGGCCAATGGAAATGATATCTTAAGAATGATCCACGATTTACGAACTGAAAATGACAATCAATGAAAGCACATTTTACACATTATTATAACTCCAGCGATGCTGCAGATTTTATAGTACATGGCGACACACAAATGCAAGACGTGCCAGAAGATATCGACAGAAATCGAAAGCGTCCTACGATTCTTTTCTTATGAGTTCTACTTATGCCAATATCATAAGAAGTGTTGTCGGGTCTTCATATCTGTGGAATTGGACATGTTATCAAAGTAGTGTGTTATGAAAGCCAATGTAAATGTAACCATATTACTGGAAGACTTGGTACCAGAGGACAATGAAAAGACCGAAAGACTGAGGGAAACACGAGCCATCCTGCAACCAAACAGAATCATCGATGAGGATCAGCGTATGAAGGTAAAGTGAATATTTGATATTGATAGCCACTCACCTGACCAGAATCTGGACGACGGTCTGGTGACATTTTATTGTCTATGTACTAGGGAAATGTTAGTCCGAGGTGACAACAGGTATACCATGTCACCCACTTTGGTATCAGCATAACGATGTGGAGACCTTTCAACATGCATCGCTAAAAATGCTCTAATCTTGTAAATTTCCAATAATGTTAGATGCCTGAAAAAGAGATTTTTGTCAGATTTTTTCTGTATTATATGTTGGTTTCGGCCTCACTTAATTTTTCTTGAAGAAACTACTTGTTAGAAAAATAAAAGATCCTAAGATGAAACATATATATTAGAGTTCTGAAAAAAATGTTTGTAATATATACATGTACCTTTGAAAATTGTTTCCTATACAGATCTATACTTATTATAAGACTAACATTTCCAATGGTTCTCACTGGTCGAAAAAAAATGTTCATACACTACAATGCAAACTTGCTTGATTTGATCTATATTTGACAAGAATTTATAATAAGTGTTTAAACCAACCTAAGGATGATGCACATAGGAATACAGTATCAGTCTTGATTTGGGTGTTGCGTCTGACTTTTATATTTTTCAGGAAAATGACAAAGTTAGCTTTTTTGGTGCCGTATAGTGACCAAACTTGCATGGGTGATGAATCTTGGGATGCACATTACATGAACATTTATTCGTTTAGAGATTTGTCTTTACTTTCAAATTACGCTCCATATTCTTTGATTACCAATGTTTTCAATTTATTTCAGGTTGACGACAAAAAATCAAGCAGCAGCCCCAGTGGAATAAAACGCTACACTCCTCTCATCGTCGCCGTCGTCTGCATTATCGTCTTCATAGGCGTGGTCATTTTTCTCTTTCACGACTTTATATTATGAGTTTGAAATCTATGGAGAGTTATTGACAAGACAATTCATTTATTAGTACCATTAATTTACAGGAGTTAAAGCAATGGATGACGTCATAAAGTCAGATTGACTGTGTGATTGTACATAAGGGATGTATTAATGTGGCTTTACATGACAGGTACGAGGGAGAAATACCCTTTAAACTGAGACTTTTGCAAGTAGAAGATTCTGTGTTATTTCATTAATGGAAATTTACTTTTAACACATATCCAAAAATGTAGGGAGACTCTCTATAAATTATTAAGAAGTTCTAGAAAATGAGAACAGATGTCTATACATTGAGTTATTTTAATTTATTCATTTTCAACCTAGGGTACCTGTAATTTACCACCATGCAAAATGTTCAAAGACAATGGAAGAAATAAATGTTGCCTCTGCTTAAATGATGAAAACAAATACATGTACTTCGCTATTATCATTATCATTATAAATTAATTGAATATTCGATTATTCGGGCCTAATAATACGTGAATTAACTACAATTTGAGTATCAAACTGTATATTTCAGTTTATTTTATTAAAGATCTAAGGACAGATTACCTAATCATTTGAATTATTAAAAGCTCTTTATACTGTGCATTAGATGGGTGATCACCGGAAGGGCAATTCTCATCGTAATGAATCCTACCTTTGAATTAAAAATGATACTTATTTTTTATTTGAAAATTAACATAAAGTCTTCATTATGTGCCCTAGGTACAACTCATTTCCGAAATAATTGATACGACGACTACCCGATATATGTTTTGCATCAAAGTTTAATTATCAAACTGATAATTACAGGAGGTCTCTGAGAATGATTGATGAAAATACATCAATCCTTAATATTGATGCAAATAGGCATATCATCGTATTTGAGTACCACAGTAATTACTTCCGATACAAATCTGAGATTCCTGTTTACTTTTCTTTTTTTAAAATCAGATTGACCTTTTGTGACATTGCGAAATCCAAACGACCTCCGCTTCAGTGCACATTGATTTACCGAGCTAGCACAAAGTCAATATATCTATACCCTCATGGAGTGTGGACAGTTAGTACATCCGTCCTGAAACAGAATTTTGCATTCTCTGACTAGTTAATACACTAATAATCATAAAATTTTAGGGTATTATACTAGTATTTTTTCTTATTCGGGGAGTATGTGAGGTACCTACAAGAAGTGTCGTCAGCTGAACTCTATTCATATCCCTTATGAATAGGGTATCGTTTAACGCTTGAGAGTGAATTGTAAAGAATCTGTACTTGTGCGACAGTGACTCGCCTTTATAAGATGGCAGACCATCAGGTTTTAGTTGCTCTGACTAGGACAATACTATGTCTATCCTGTTTCATTTATTTTGGTGCTGGTCAACCACACGAAGCTACCAACCGTTTGTCAGTGGACATCAAGAAAAACTACAACAAAATGATTCGAGGAGTACAAGATATGAGAGAGCTTACCCCTCTGTTTTTCTTGTTTAGTCTGATCCGTATTGCTGAATTTGACGAAGTGAACGGAAAAATCTCAGTGGTTGGATACTTTACTGTATATTGGAGTGATTACAGGATGAAATGGGAACCAAAAGAATATAATGAAACTGAAAATATTCTTTTTGCGGAAAAGGATGTATGGAGACCCCTAGTTGTCCTAGCTTCACCCCAAGAAGAGTTCAGAAGACTTGGAGATGATGACAATTTCTTTATAAGGTATAACTCCGAGGGTCGAGCAGAATGGTACCCCGGGGACATCTGGGCATCATCATGTACACCAGATATGTACAAATACCCCTACGATACGCAGTCTTGTTCGATATCCTTCGTCGTTTGGGGCTATAGCATACACGAAGTCACTGCGTTTGCTATATCTGACAAAATAAGTTTGCATGTGTACTCTCCTCATGGTATGTGGGATTTGGTGGACACATCAGTCAAATCGGGCTCCGACAGTGTACGGGGACTCACGTTGATAGAGATCACTTTATTCTTGAAGAGGATTTCCACATTTCACATGATAAATATGATTCTTCCTATTGTGTTTGTTGGTTTGCTCAACATCCTTGTCTTTCTTCTTCCTGCTCAGTCCGGAGAAAGGGTCGGGTACTCCATCACTGTGTTACTCGCCATTGCAGTCTTTCAAACGATCGCGTCTGACAATCTTCCAAGCGTTTCTAAGCCTAATCTTTCATTGCTTTGCATTAAACTGTTAGCAGACCTAATTCTGAGTGCTTTAGTGATGACGTTGACGATAATAACGTTATATTTTTATCACATGCCAGAATCTCGGAAAGTGCCCCCATGTATTGCAGCTGTAACAAGATTTGTATTGTGTAAAACATGTTGTAGAAGCAAAGGCAACGACACTACCAAAGACAAATACGATGAGTATATTATCAAGAATGGGATCGGCATGACAGAATCTGTATCAAATAGTGATCACCAGCAGACCGAGGTCACGTGGACAGATGTCGGTAAAAGCAGTGATATTGTCTTTGCTGTGTTTTCTTTGTTGACTTTTATTGGTTCAAATATCGTATTCTTGGTGTATGCAGTATTTTAGCATATATTATATATATACATGTATTACCGGTATATGACTACAGTGATTTTACCATTCCCGTATTTTGCTTCCATTTACATGTTCATATTATGTCACTTTTGTTCTAATCTGATAGTGTCACATTAAACTGTCCCCATTAACACAACTGGACACATAAATTTGATATCTTGCAAATCTTGTTATCAATTATATCAAGAATATTACTTCCAGTATGGGAAAACACATGTCAATCTTTCGCATCTCTGAGTGAAAATAAATCTATTGTGAAAACTATATAACTTTATGTATCAGACCTTCAGGATTTGAAAGCACCATTGGAGAGAATCCATACTTTATGTAAGTAACTTCCGTATGTGATCCCCTGAGTGGGAATAAGTGTGATAGACCAGTATATAGGAAAGTTCAACTCACTTTTCAAGTGATGCAATAGACTCTAGGTTTCAGGCAAGGTATGCTGCAGTGATAATGAGCGTGTCAGCCCTTGAATGTGTGATCGCTGCACGATTTATAATTGTTAGTATATCAGTGGGATTCGAACCCCTGCCTTCTAGGAAAACTCTTTCATGGAAGAAGCATTATCCAGCATGCAAAGCTTGCCATGGGATTTAACTGTTATCTGAGTGTATGCATCCGTGTCAAGAATCCACGGAATGGATTCCGAACATATGCCAGTCTATCTACAGTCCATCACTACCAACAAACGCTACACTGGCGCTAATGCATAAAACAACATTCCAAAACAACACCCATGCAGCACAATCCTTGTCACATATTTACCCTCTTAGTCTTTGAATGTTCGTTTTACTGCTTCAAAAATCAGCGCCTTAGCCAATCAAAACGTGTTTTATAAAACAACTGCATTAGAATGCTATTTTTAAAACTGTTTAATGTATGTATGTTAGAAATTCAAAATTTTAAATTTAATTCATAATAAAAATTAAAGATATCAAACATCAATCAAACCCATAGTATATTAAGATAAACCAAGCAGGAGAAAAGTAAATACGGACTCCCAGAACATCAGTGATGGGATCAGGTATCATATAGGTGTAGACATTCCCTGTCGACCGATCACACCTGTCATGTGCTCCTTGTCAGATTTCAGATGTCATGTCGGGCAAATTGAAACTTCCGCAGACAATTTAGTGTTCGTGTAAAAATGTGCTATTAAATGTACTATTTTAAAATTTACCTATTAAAAACTATTCAGTTTACCTATCAAATAAAAATAGCATTCATATTGATGGATTATCATAAGTGGATAAAAAGGTTTCTCCAATTCACTCAAAGCTCTTCGTCATAGCCATTAACTATAGTTTCTTTGCTGATTACTTAAGAACAGAAAAAAAAAGATTTTCAAGAACCTCTCAACTAAAGTTCATGAATTTTACAATTTTAAATTAGAACAGACACTAGTGGTTATCATAACTATGTACTTAGATTGTATTTAAATCTCAAGGAGCAGATTTTCAAAGATTTTCATTTTTTTTACAATGTAACCAAGGAAGCCATCACCCAGGGGCCATAATTACTTTTAAAGATACCCTTGCTTGAAAGATATCCACCACTTAGTTTGTATTCTAATTAACACAGAGCCCTACAATAACACCAGGACTTCTCAACCAGGGCCATGATTTTCATAATTCATGCTCATCATAACCATGTACTTATAACCAAGAGCAGTGAAGATTTTAATGAATTAAATGTAATGTAAAAGCCTCGCCCTAACACCAAAGCCCTTGAGCCAGGGGCCACAATTTTTTATAATTTTGAAAGATACATTCTTCATCATTATTTATGCAATTGATCTGTCTCTAAAAATACATGTACATGGCGGGGAGAAGGGGATTTATAAAGAATTAATAAATTTCACTTTTTGAACAACAGAGCCTCATCTTAAAACAGAAATCTAAAATCACATAAATGGAAAACACATGCAAATAAGGTATTCATTTACTTTGTCTTGGTTAACAATAATGTTAATATTACTTGAATTGATTACAAGCTACATTTGTGTAATAATCTTACATGTCAGTTTATTCATATCTGATGACCCCCATATACTAATGAATTTTTAGAGACATTGAGGCGTTTTGTAAATAATGAGTTTGTCTAATGCAACATAGAGCACCAGCCATGCACCTCTAGGGAATGCTAAAAAGGTGTTGCCCACTGTTACTATAGTTCTGCAAATAAAGTGTTCGATTAATTATACGACGGATGTTCAATAAATTATGTGTTGCAAAAAAACCTGTTACAAATTTAGGTCTGCAAATAAAGTGTTAAAACACATATCCCTACATTTTTATCCAATTTCTGAGGGATTTTCAATAAATAATGCCCTCGTGCACTGGAATAAAATCCTACAAAAAAAAATTTTCAAATAATTTATTGTTGGTGTGACAAAACATTATATCCTCAAAAATTTCCCTTGAAGAAATTTAAATATTTTCTTTAAACAATTAAAACACATATCCATAACTTATTTTTATCATATAACAATTCCTGATTGATTTTTGAAGACATTTTTGTAAATTTGTTTTAATGGCCCTTCGTATACTGGAATTTATAATGGCAGATAAAATTAGTCAAAAATTTTCTGGACTTGTTTCACTTTCACTTATTTTTCAAAACATAGAGTGACCATTGAGTACTAAGCCTTTTTACTGTCAAATGTTTCTTCAAAACAAAAATAAAACATCAAATTTGCTATGTGCATAGTCAATCAAATATATGTCATATTTGTGAAGGAAACAGTACAATACTTACAAAAGTAATTACCCATTGTTTTCAAACCTATTTCACTGGATGTAATATTGTTATGTTTACTGTCCATTCAATATCCATTAACTAGTCGTGATTACATGACTTATGATAGGATGTAGTTTCTACAACTGATTTCGTAACAGAATTTTCCATTGTTTCCCTAAAAGAACACTTCATACCTGTAACAATCCTGTATGTAATATTATCTGCCATTCAAAATTTAGTTGACATAACTAATGATAGGATGTAGTTTTTACAACTGATTTCGTAACAGAATTTTCCATTGTTTCCCTAAAAGAACACTTCATACCTGTAACAATCCATCTGCCTTCAAAAATTATCTGATGACTTAGATAGGCCTTGAGTCTGTGCTTTATATATATTCTGTAAATTGCACTGATGACCGGTGGGTTATTTTGACTATCACATATGGACTTGCAATATAAGATCCTATATTTGGAACTATGACAGCGTATCCAGTACCGTTGCCAATGACACATATACTTCTATGTTTGTCTTTAGCAATATATCCTCATTCTGCACAACCGAACGAAGCTTCTAATCGCCTTTTCAACACCCTTCAACAAAATTACAACAAAATGATTCGAGGACAAAGAGATATGGGAGAAGTAACCATATTGTATTTTAGGTTTAATCTGATTCGTCTTACAGAATTTGACGAAGTCAATGGAAGATTATCAGTTGTAGGTTACTTTGCAATATTCTGGTCGGACATGAGGATGAAATGGGAACCAGTGCACTATAATAATACAAACACTATTATCTTTAAGGAAACGGATATTTGGAAGCCTTTCATTGTTTTAACCTCTACCCAAAAAGATTTCAAAAGACTAGGAGGCAACAATTTCTTCATAAGATACAACGCCGAGGGTCGGGCAGAATGGTATCCAGGGGACCTTTGGGCGTCAGCATGCACCCCAGACGTTTACAAATACCCATACGACACACAGACTTGTTTGGTGTCCTTTGTGGTATGGGGCTATACTCCTCGTGAAGTAGCGCTGTATTCTATAATTGATAAAGCTCTTTTGCATGTATATACTCCTCATCCTACATGGGATTTGATAGATACTTTAGTGTTGTCAGACATAGATACGGCAAGAGGATTCGCTTATATAAATATTACTCTAGTATTGGAGAGAATCCCCACATTTCACATGATAAATATGATTCTTCCTATTGTGTTTGTTGGTTTACTCAACATCTTCGTCTTTCTGCTTCCTGCTCAGTCCGGAGAAAGGATCGGGTACTCCATCACTGTGTTACTCGCCATTGCAGTCTTTCAAACGATTGTTTCAGAAAAATCTGCCAAGTGTTTCTAAGCCTAATCTTCCCTTGCTTTGCATCAAACTATTAACAGATCTAATTCTGAGTGCTTTAGTGATGACGTTGACAATAATAACGTTATATTTTTATCACATGCCAGAATCTTGCAAAGTACCCCCGTGTATTGCAGCTGTAACAAGATTTGTGTTGTGCAGAACATGTAGAAGCAAAGTCAACGACACTATCAAAGACAAATACGATGAGTATATTATCAAGAATGGGATCGGCATAACAAAATCTGTATCAAATAGTGATCACCAGCAGACCGAGGTCACGTGGACAGATGTCGGTAAAAGCAGTGATATAGTGTTCACCGCGCTGTCCATATTGATGTTCTTTGGGTCAAATATCGTATTTATGGTGTACATTGCTTTTTAAATGTTGGAAAAGTTTGAATATTCTTTGACTTTTCAAATTTGAAAACAAATTGTACACGTGTTAAAATGAAGAGTGCTTGGTGTAAATTTTTATGCATCTTCAATGTACCTTTGACCAGTTTGTATATATATTGTATATTATGTTATTTGTACCCCATGTACCAATCTTGATTTGGGTGAATAAAATGAACTTGAACTTGATGTTATCATGTCATAATTGATCAGAATACCTACAATAAAATAATTGCAGATGGAATGCTTTTCCACTTTACCTCTACCTTTACAAAGAAGGATGATAAGTACCGATTTGTTTATCTGAAAGATACAATATATTAGGAAGTATGACAATATCTTACATTATTGAGAATAATGTTAAGGAAAATGTGTTAGGTGGGTCTGGTTTAATTATCAGACATATTGTCGCAAACCACGACCAGAGAGTATATGCGGACTCCGAGCCGTGGCTTGAGACAATGGGTTTAAGAACAAGCAAGATTTTTTTCCCCACAGTCTGTCAAAAAAAGTTACCCATTTCAATAAAATTTGAAGAGATTACTTGGAAAGTATTAGTTGCTATTTAATCCATTTCATTCGTTTTTCCAAACATATTCAAATAATGATATATTTTCAACATTTTGAATACATACCATCAATAATTTTAGCATATATACTAGAGTATACAAGTTTTTCGTGAACCATAAAGAATAGCAATTCTTTCAAAACAAAGGTTTGATTCACAAAAATGAAATTCAAAGGCAAACGAATGAAAATGCATGGTAAAATTATAAGTTTGTGTGAAAACTAAAAAAACATTAAATGAAATAACTGTTTTAATTTAATCTTTGTTACAAAAGTTTATTTTTTATGACACATATTTTGGGTTTCCCATAGCAAAATATGGACATTGTCATTCTTATATAATATTGAATGGTACCCATCTCTTATCCGCAACTCCTCCTATCATCACTGAAAAAAATTAACACTTTCACAGATTCTTTACAACATTCTGCTGTTGTGTACCTCCTATTTTACTTTTTGATCTGACACTTATTTTGGGTCCCCCAGAGCAAAAAATGGACGTTGCCATTATAATTATATGAGAGGCGGGGGAGGGGTCTCATTTCTCATTTGGTGAGATCTGAGTGCTCACAGTAACTCTCGTTTTAAAGGTGAAGATTGGAAACATTTATAAATGTTATTGTAATATCTTTTAAGACTTGCATGAATATCATTTCACACTTCATATTTGTACAATCGTCTGGCTTTTTGAAAATCACCCGAAAATTATAAAACTGCATGGGCTAAATCTGTTGAACATTGTTAGAGGTTTAATATATACTCTTTGGATTCAAGTCTTGATCTACAGAGTAAATATTTTCATTAGGACATGTCTTATGTTGTTAATGCAAAGTAATATCGTTTACAAATGAGATATCCGGTACGAGTCAAACACAAACAGGACAATAAAAGAGGGATACACGTAAGAGGCTTTAGAAGAGTAAAAGCTTTTTGTTTGCTTTCCTAACACGAAACACTTAAATTCGTAAACTGTTAAATCTTCTTGTGAAATAATTGCTTGATCGTATCAATACACCCAAACAATAGTATTGAATTGCGAAATCATTTAAGTACAGATTTGGGTGTAGACATCAATAAACAGGATTTTTAATATGTTAATATATATTTTCAGACAGAAAAATTAAGAGTTCAATACCAATAATATATCTCCTCGATTATATCGGGAAAGATGTTTATTGATTCGGTTTATCTACATTAGAAATCATCAATTCAGGACCAGTACCAATTAACCGTAGATTCGGTTCAAAAACTCACTTCATCATCTCCATATCATTACATGTAATTGTAACAAATTTAAACATGCTGTCATGTGTTCATTTTTTGCATGCACCGTATATTTCTCCATTTATATTCACAAAAAATATAGCCAGACTTTCTCAGGTTTTCAGTTTGTTTATGTATTCAGTATATGAAGTTAAAGTTACAACTATTTTTTAAGACTATCTCTCTCAAAAGCGTTAACTACTATCAATTAGGGGTATCAGATGTTATATAAATGTTGATAGTTGACGAATATAGGCCGCCAATGCCATTAGACCTCAGGAACTGTTATAGTGCTTTTATTGCAATCGATGACAATTAAACAGTGAATTGGACGTTAACTGTCCTCAGGTACCCGTCATTTAAATAACTGAATCCAGCAGAATATTCAAGTTTTTTTTATTATTAAGGATTCTTGAAGCGTAACACTTGACATTACCCCTGGATTTTAGGACACCGTACAAATGAACTCCCTTTACAGAGAGAAGGTGACAATGGCCAGAATTGTGATTTTCTTCCTTTTACTGATCGGGACTGTGGGATCGACTTACCACGAAGATGTCTATAAGCTGTCCAGAAAGCTACTTGATGGCTATAATGATATGATTAGAGGGAGCAAGGATTTGTCGCAGAGAACTTCCATCTCCTTTATGTTTAATATCATAAAGATTGCTGAATACGACGAAGTGAACGGAAAACTCGCCATAGTCGGCTTCTTCTTCCTACAGTGGGAGGATTATCGAATGAAATGGGACCCAGATGAGTACAATGGTACTAATAATGTGATGTTTGAGAGTAAGGACGTTTGGGTACCAAATATTATGCTCACCACGTCTCATAGCGACTTCCGTAAACTGGGTACGGATGACGTACCCGTTAGGTATGATAACGAGGGAACATCTTACTGGTCCCCGGCGGATGTGTTCACCACCTCCTGTACGCCAAACATATACTATTATCCTTATGACACTCAGAACTGCTTCTTGTATTTCAGTTCATGGGGATACAGTCTTTACGAAGTGGTATTTCACTCCATGCGTGACGATGTCAACACTTACTTGTATTCGGAACATGGATTATGGAACCTTACTGCCACCTCCGTTTTTGTTTTCAAAGACACTACAAATCAAATTAATTCTATGGTTATCAAACTAACATTAACCAGAATGCCGACGTTCTATCTCATCAATATGATTCTCCCCATCATCGTCATTGGTTTATTAAACATTCTTGTCTTTCTCCTGCCCGCAGAATCCGGAGAAAGGGTCGGTTACTCCATTACGGTTCTTCTTGCTATAGCAGTGTTCCAGACAATAGCTTCTGACAAACTACCACATGTCTCACGGCCCCAGATTTCTCTGTTGTGCATTAAACTTCTTATAGACCTCGTTCTAAGCGTACTGGTGACCACATTAACAATTGTTTCCCTGTATTTTTACGACATGCCAGACTCGAGAAGAGTACCCGTATGTCTACAAGCCGTCTGCCGCTTTATTTTATGCAAGAAATGTTGTTCTAACAAAAGCGAGGACAAATATGATTACGAAGAAACATACGAAATTTATAAAATCGAAAATGGTAAGCAAATTACGACTTCCATTTCTCTGAGTGACGTCAGAAAGTCGGAGAAAACTGATGTCATCAATTGGACAGATGTTGGAAGGTGCAGCGACATTGTTTTTGCTATTTTTTCTTTGTTGGCGTTTATTGCCTCAAATGTAGCATTTGTTTTACTTGTGATAATAAAATAGTTAAATGTTGCTGTATTTCATTTCATACTTTCCAGTAATTCATCTATCCTTTTGTATTTAGTAATCCAAAAAAAAAATTAGATGGATTACATGATCAGTAGTCAGTACGTACTGATCCCTGCTGACAAAGATTGATTGATTGATTGATTGTATGTTGTTTAACGTCCTTCTCGAGAATTTTTCATTCATATAGAGACGTCACCGTATGCCGGTGAAGGGCTTCAAATTTGACATTTACTCGGCACTCAGGGCCATTGAGCAGTGAGGGATCTTTATTATGCCAACGCCTGCCGCTGACATGGGGCCTCGGTTTTTAAGTGCTGACAAAGAAAGTAACAACATTGTCTTTGTATAAAATGTATTTAAGAGAAACTTGGATGAAACATATGGAGATAACGAACAGTATTCAAGATCAAAAGTCCATAAAACAATACAAAATATGAGCAGAGCAAACACGGGCCACTTAAACATCAGAGGTGTGATAAGGTGCCATGGAAGAGTGAGCATCCCCTGCAGACCAGTCACAGCCGCCGTGCGCTCCCTGTGACAATCTGCTGACAAGGTCAGTGTATCGACCTTATAACTTACGAAATGATGACTTAAAACGAGACTCCTGCTGATATTCTTGTTTCAGCAACTTATTTGTCAACTTGATGATAAGATTTACCTCGTTTCAGAAATTGTTCATTCGTAGAACATGCTATTGCGTTTCCAATTAACTGAGATACTAGTATATAAACTCCGTATGCAGGTGATGAAGGTAAATTGCTGTATAAGTAAGGGAAGTTGACGATAGAGAAGTTAAAGTGGCATCATGCTTATACAGATTGATTGTTAGATTACCATTAACGTCTTTTTCCAAGTAAAATATCCAAATATGAAACAGATGTGTCAGACTCTGTGGTATCTTTTACCTCAAGCTCACCAGGATATATAATATATACTAGTATCCTATCGACATAAGAATGGAAATTACCATTGTTAATAGACAACACATCGTCGATATATCTAAATGTCGAGTTGAAGGACATGTAGCAAGTGATTTCTTCTTTTTACGCATAAGATTTTACACAAATCCTGCTTCATATGTATATAAAAATAGGTCTGATTTAATCTTTCACCTAAAGGGTTTGTCGCGCTACAGAAAAATTCACATAAATGAGCTAAACATATTTTCACAGTTGGTAAACTAGGTTTATCGACTGTAAGCTATAGTTTACAAACCGTGAACTATAGTTAATATTTATTATTTGTTAACTATAGACTAGTTTTCAACCGTAAAACTATATTTAACAGTTGTTAAAAGTTGTAAACCATGTTTTGCAATCGCAAATGATTGTTTTCAGTAAAAAGTATAGTTTACGGTTCTGAAACATAGATTATAGCGTTAACTATGGTTTACAGATGTAAAATATAGATTAACGTTGTTCACTATAGGTTACAGTCTGTAAACTATAGTTTACAACCGATAAACCTAGTTTATAGACTGTGAAACTATGTTTATCTCATTTTTGTGGATTTGGCGTGCCGTATATATGGTATTTACTGCCAAACAGTGATGTGACCCAGGGGCGTCGCTTGACCTTATTATGAAGTGAGACAAAAATTTTGTGGCCGGGGGTCTGTGGGCCGTCTTAGGCTCCCAGCAGGGCAGAGCAGGGGGTTTAGCCCCCGACGGAAAACGAATTTTTGGGTTATAGAATGTAAAAATAATACATGTACTTGTCCTGGAATTTTATCACCTATATTCGAAGAAGTGATATCAATTAGTCAGATTCTGAATATTCCCATAAGTGATATCAGCTATTAGAATAAGTGATATCACCTTTTCGAATAAGTGACATCACCTATTTAAGTAGGTGATATCACCTATTTGATTTGAATTGGTGGTATCACCTAATAGATTAAATTTGAATGAGTGTATTCACTTATTCGAGCAAGAGATATTACCTACGAGGGGTGATCAAAAAGTTCGCAAACTATCTCTATATCTACAAAACCACAATTCAGATTAGAATGAAATTCGGTACACACATAGCCACAAGCTCCAGACAGCTCAGTATTACGTTACGCTACAACTCCATATCAAAAATAAATAGAACGATTGTTATTTTCCTTTATTTTCATCATTAAACTTATACACAACATTCAGTTTGAAATTTTTGAAAACCGAATTACTCGCGCAAGCCAATTTTCCAGATTTTGGAAAAAGTTTGGAAAGCCTGTGGCAGTGGCATTATTCGTAGGGAACGAGAGTAGTCCCGGAGAATTGACACTGTATGGAGTTTGACATAGCCATACACAAGGTATATAAATAGCATATGCTGGATAAAGTTTCTCTCCTTGTTTGTGACGTCACAATGTGAAAATGACGTCACTATTTAGGTCACTTGTGACGAAAAATGGTTGATCGAACTCGTTCAACAAACGACTGTACAATTTATTGTAATATCTTAGAAATCCCTCTACAGTATCATATAATAATTTGTACACAGTTTCCTGAGATAAATGAGTTCCTATAAATTCAATTAATGATTGGATTAATCGTTTAGTGAAGGAAGGCTGATGGTTAAAAAGCCCAGTGAAAGCAAGTTTGAAAAGATATGTATTTTTAATTAAGCAATTTGCTATCAAAGACCTCCTAGTAGCACTGAAAAATAGTTAAATATTTGAACAATGATATAAGTATTAAATACCTAAGATATCGTTTACTTTAGATTTTAAACATATTAGATATGATAAAAAGGATATTTGAACAATGATATAAGTATTAAATACCTAAGATATCGTTTACTTTAGCTTTTAAACATATTAGATATGATAAAAAGGATGCACCCATTCTCTATCCACCCCTAAAGGTCTCTCCTGAGACAGAAGATTTGTGTTTTAATGGTCGCCATGCTTATTTTTGGAAAGGATGTTATTATCCACCCATTCTGTTGCCGAGATATGACCATTTCTGACAAATTAACTGTTCTTGTCATAAAAATTAACTCACATGGAAAGAAATATAAAACTCGAAAAAATCTTTTAACATTTGTGACAGAACGCTACGGAGGGGGTCACGTGACCGCCAATATCACGTGATTCGCGCATGCGCAGAACGGTGGTTGATGTGCATTAAAATCGGGGAGGATTAATTTAAAATATAATCAACATTAAAACCAAATATTGTTTCTTGTATGGAAGTTATTCACTTAGTTTGCGAACTTTTTGATCACCCCTCGTATTTGAATAAGCGATATCACCTCTTTGATATGAATTGGTGACATCACCTATTCAATTTGAATGAGTGATAACACTTATTCGAATAGGTGATGTCACGTTTTGCCAGTAAATACCAAAAAGGCGCCTCATATATAAAGCATTTGTCCACGAACTTGTACAACCTCGTATATTTTTTCCCAAGAAGAAAAGATTCAGGATCAAAATTAATTCCACGACCAAGCAGCGAAATACGATCTAAATTAGTTGCCGCTTTATTTAACGTTGAAAATTCCAAATAACACAAAACATGAAAAGCCTGGAAAACTCCATATATTTCGGACTAACTTTAAAGTTGTAAAAGCCAAAATTTAAGTTTGAATTATCAGCTTTAGATTGGAATTACCCTCTTTAAGGTGTTTCCACCCTCACAATTCTAATGGTTCAAAGTACAAAAACTGTTTATTTTCATTTAATATACTTTAAATTTTCTAATTAATGCAAAAAATGTATAGGTCACCATATTATTTAAGATGCGAAACATAAATAAACACGAGTCTATTTCAACATACAAAATTGCACATTTTTTTTAAACAGTATTATGAAAAATATGTAAAAACTGGTTAAAATACTGAATTCTGATGCTGAATTTCCCTAAATACTTCTTACTTATAAGATTTTTTTGAATTGTGAATATCAAGGAAACTACTTTACCTTAGAAGAAAAATAAAGCAAATGCCTGAATGAAGAGCCCTTAGATGGAGTTATTGCTCTTGTCAACAATTTTTAAAGGTTGAATAATTAATAAATGAAAGAAAATATGCATTTTTCAAATTATTTTACTAAACAATATTTATCATTACACCTATTGTAAAGCATACTTCCAAAATATATTGTTCTATTAGGTGTGAATGTAAACTAATAACAGTTTTTTGCAAAAACCTATGACATCATAGGAGGGTGAAAGTACCTTAAAAATAATTACTCGGTCCTTATACGCGTCCGTAAAATTCAACCACAACCACCTGAATTTTTATCAATCAGACACTAAATTTAGAAAAATTCTACCCCCTCTATACATGTATATAAATACATAAATTATACAGATGTATTCATATATAGAGGGGGTGGACTTTTTCGATATTTCGCTTACTGAGCGTCTGATTGATAAGAATTCAGGAGCCTGTGATTCAACACAACCTCAATATTCAACGTTGAAATTTACACCCCCCACGGATCAAAATTCTACCATAAAGTTTAAGTTTACGATTCTATGACACAGCTCAATTTTCTAAAATCACCACTTTGGGTCTCAATAAGTATGTTGAATAAAATGATCCCGTTTGAAGAAATTTACTGGACGTGCCGTTTGGACAGTGGTTTAGAGCGTTTGCTCTAGGGGAGCCGAGTAGGGAACTGATACTTGTGTAGGGATTTGAATTCCACCATGGAACTTGGTGATCTGTGTTTTTGGATGAGATTGTATAAACCGAGGTCCCTTATTGCAAAAAGTGGTAGCATGAAAAAGATTCCTCAATGCTCAAATGACTTAATTTGCAGCCCTCTAACAGAAAGTGGTTTCATCTAAATCATGTGTAAATATGAGTAAAAAATTCAGGAAGGGACATTAAATAACAAAACACAATTTTATCACTAGATATTTATCTAGATTCATTTCGTTTTTTAAATCATTAAAAAGATTTTTTTCAACAAGCAGAAGTCTTGTCAATACTGTAGCTCTACTGGTTTGTACTAAAACAAAGGAAGAAAAAAGTAGCAGTTGGACTTGCAACTTTGCAAAAGCATGAATACAATAACGATTCTTGATTTAGCCTCTTTCTGTAGCAAGATTGCAATATGACTACAGCTGTAGGAGACACCTCTTAAGGACAGACGATACAAACAAACTTTTGTCAAAAAATTTGATAATACCAATTTGAGTCATTTTTTATCAATAAAATGAACAAGTTTTACCACGTAGTTTTATTTTTATTCAAATTTTCACAAAAATGGGATTTGAAGTGAAAAATATTTGTATAGACTAATAAGGATGGTTTTAGTGATAAAGAATTTTGAATATCATAGAAGGTTTACAATATCTTTATATTCTAGAAATTTATTATTTGCATCATTTTCAATGAAATTAGGCCCAGAAATATATACCAATCCAGGCATCGATTTTTTTGTTTGTATCATCTGTCCTTAAAGAAATTTTACAGCAATTTCAATTTTAGTTACCATGGTAACTTCATTTATCAAAACCAAAAATACAATAATGACAATTATTTTGAAAGTATTTCACAAAAATTTCAATTTTAGTAACCATGGTGACACCGTTCATCGGACAACCACTTTACTATTGCTTAAGCTCTTATGGTCTCTGACAAGTAGAGCTAAAACTTTACTGAACAGAGGAAAAATCAATTACCACTACTCTTACTTATAAGGCTCAAGGTTAAAAGTTCAATGACTGATAAAAATCTACATTCAAAAATTTCTTTCAATCTTATCACTATACATGTCCCATTGCAGAGTATTCACAAGTGTTTAATATGGTAATTGTGGTATAAATATTGAACATTTACAAAAGCAAAACATTGAAATTAGCTCATATTTGTCAGAAATTACCAGGTAGTAAAAATTGGATAGGACTAGCCATTTTTGTTTAATAAGTCTGTACTATAAATCCTGGTTTTGATCTTATTTTTTCCAAAAGTTTTCCGTTTTAAAATTTGAAATAAATTGTGTCTCAGTATTTCAATGATCAACATAGTGAGACTGGGGAAAAATATTAAACCTCTTCTAGATTTTTAAGAGATGAAGAGATTTTATGGTTGATTTATTTTTTGTCATTCTCTTTCAGTAAATAATTTTACTTTAAATCTTTTATAGGAAAGATGTATTACAGCAAATAAACAAAAGGTTCAAGACCTATTGCCTCCTAATTGTCAAAACCAGAACATCATATAACAGTATAAAGTTCAGCACAACTTTGAACCATTTAACGTTGGAATAAACAAAATACATGTACATGTACTTTAAATAGTTTGAAAACGTCTTATCATCTTATGCTGGAATAATTGGAATATTTCACAAGAAACTGCTTTGCCTCTTCTACATCAAATCTGTCAGCCATTTCATCAATCTGAAATAAAATATTAACATTTATTTGATTTCGAAAAAATAAATGTATTTTTACAGAGCCCATTGGCAATTTTGCTCAACTGAAGTTTTACTTTATCTTTGCTGGTCTTCTTCAAATTTTTAAACACATACCGGTACAACATTTTTTATAGTCCCATTAAAAACCACTAGCAAATATTACAGCCCCACACTTACTCTAAGGACTCTACATACCATGGTGGAATGCTCAATATTAACATTTCTACCATGCCCTTGCAATAATGAGAGAAAAAATTCCAGAGTTCCACTGATTAAAACAAAGCTTAGTAAGGAGTGGTCATTTCTATTTCCACATGACATGCTACACTAACCTGTTTCCACTGCTCTGCCTTCTGTTCTATCCTCTGCTGTGTATTCTGAAGTCTTGTCTGTTTGGCTCGGAGTGCATCCTTAAGAAGTTTATTCTGGGACTGCAGATCTGACAAGATTCCTTGTAAGCGTTCCTTCTCCTTCAGTTTATAGGGAGCAGTGTGAGCGAGCACGTCCTCAGCAGCATTGCCAGAGGGGCGCCTAAAAGGGGGATTTCTTATTTTACACGTTATTTTCTTAAATTTCATTTCACATTAAGATACTTGCATTTAAAAAGGCATTCAAAAAGAAACTGAATAGATGTGGTGAATAATCTGTTTAAGATGCTCAAGGTTTGTATAAAAATAAAGCACATATTATGCCTCTTCAGTGTTTAATATTCTATTTAATTTCTGAATCATTTAGTTTTATTTGTAATAATAGATTGACAAATAAAATATTTACCATCCCTTCTTTCCTTTTTCTGGGTTTTCATCAATTAGATCATTCAAGCCATTTAACAATTTACAAATATTCTCTTCTTTCAGCATCCAAGTAATCTCCTCCTTTAAAAAAAAAACATTTGTTCAGAAATCAATACCTGAGTTCCATTTGAATTTAATTACAATATGCCCTTATGGCCTATAGATACTTAGATACCATTTTGAACAAAACAAGAGGCCCTTGGACCACATCTCTCACCTGAGTAACTTTGGCTGTGCTGTTTTTAACTAGATTTCCCCCTTGTAATACCGGGTATGTGAAGGAAGCATACCGGCTAGGGAAATAGACTTTTTGAAGAAAAAAGTTTAATAAGTTATCAAAATATATAAACGTAAACTGTTATTTACTATTGCATACAAAATAGCCTAACGCAAAATATCATCACGTGACTTTATTAATAGCAAAATTTTTTAACAAAAAGGCTTGTCAACAATATCAATTTATAATTTCTTTGAGTATGTAATATAGCTGAAAAATATCTATTTTGACAAAAATCGAATTGGAGATTTTAAAATATTAATCCACACATTTCAGCACACCTTACCCTTTGTTTTGAATTTTATACATATTTCTCACTTTTATTTACAACCATGCTTAACTCGGGAACAGGCTCTTGTTATCAAAATATATATCTTTCAAGAGTTGTCCTCGTATGTTTTGAAATATCCAGCTTGTTGTTGTTCTTAAAATTTTTTAAAATAAATCAAAAGATAATGATATTTGCATCTTCGAAAGAGAATATAATCAATGAAAATAAATTAACTACTTGTTAATTAATTGAAATATATGAATATAACACAATATTTCCGATATTTCATTTCATAGGGAATTACAACTCCATTTTACGCAATATCAACATGTCTTAGCCAAATTCTCTTTACAAAATTAATTCCATATACTGGATGTACACATATGACGTCATCGGTGGTAGATTTAATCATAATGACTGTTACAGCATAACAAAATAAAAACATTTTATATTTGGTAATGTTTACACGTTTCTAATCATTTTCTAGAATTAAATTACATTGTAAATCAAACTGCATATATACCTGATTTCTAAAATTGACGTCATCTCGCCTACAATGCACCTCATAATGCAGCATGATTTAACAATAAATATTTTGTATCTTTATAAAATCTAATGCCTGTGTGTAATTTATTGTGAAAGAGTCATACCGGCTAGGGATGGGTATCGCCAAAAATCTCGTATCGCAATATATCACGATTTTTTCCTAAAATATCCCGATAATATCATGATATTTTTACAAGCAATTTTTACAATGATTTTAAATGAATGGTCATTATTTTTCTTAAAAATATGCTAGAAAAACAAAATTTCACTTTTTTGAAATTTTTATGTACACAAAATCAATCATGTTTGGATGGTAAATTGGTAAGATGCCATTCTTTTCACCTTTAACAACATTTTTTTTAAGACTTTCTGTAATTATAATTTGAAAGATTGAACAAATAAATGAATACCCCAGGTAATTTCTGGACTTTATGATATGTACCTAAATACTGGTATTTAGGTCTCCATATCACGATACGTATCACGCAATAAAAAATTGTGATATACCACTATACCGAAAAAATCGCATATCCCTATCAAACCCTACTGTCAGGGGTAATGATTTGGACAATTTTGAATCTAAACTACCCCAGGATGCTTCCACAGAAGTTTCAGCTCTTCTAGCCCAGTGATTCTTGAGAAGATTTAAAAGAAAAAATTCCTATACAATTCAATGTAAAACTTGGGATTTCCTATTGTGGCCCCACCCTACCCTCCAGAGGTCATGATTTGAACAATTTAGAATCTACATTACCCCAGGATGCTTCTGAATGTTTCATCTATTTCTGGCCAAGTGGTTCTTAATAAGAATTTATTAAGATATTCCTGTATATATCAATGTAAAACTTTGATTCCCTATTGTGGACCTGCTCTAACCCTGGGTCTTGATTTGAACAATTCAGAATCTACACTACATCAGGATGCTTTCAAATAAGTTTCTGCTTTTCTGACCCAGTGGATCTTCAGAAGAAGATTTTTTTTAATAATGACCCACCCTATTTTGGTGTTTCTTGTTTATTCCCCCTTGCAAGGGAACTTGGCCTTTCATTTTTAAATTTTAATTCCCCTTTACTCAAGGATGCTTTGTACTAAGTATGATTAAAATTGGCCCTGTGATTCTTGATAAGAAGTTGAAAATCTGAAAAGTTTACAGACAGACTGACAGCTAGACGGTAGGATGACAGACAATTGGTGATCAGAAAATCTCACTTGAGTTTTCAGCTCATGTGAGCTAAAATACACTTAATTGTAAAGTCTTTTTGTCCCCCTCTTTCACTGAAAGGGGGAATATTAATTTCAGTCTGTCCATCTCTATCTGTCTATTACACTTTCAATTTCATGTGATATCAGGAGAAGAAGCTTTTGAGCTTTTGCAATGAAATTTTACAAAACTACCCATGGCCTGAGATAGACCCCTATTGATTTTGAGGTTATAGGTCAAGGTAATAAATTCTGTCTGTTTTAACACTTTGGTTTCTGTGTGATATCTCGAGAAACCTTTAAGCTTTTCAGTGAAATTCCCTATGGCCTAAGCAAGACCCCTAATAATTTTGAATAAAAAAGTTTGAGGGTCAAGATCGTAAATTAATAAATTTTGTGTGTGTGTGTGTGCTTAAGTTAAAACTTTCATTTCCTTTCCATAGTTTTGTAGTCAAAGTCTCAAGAAGGTTTTGAGTTTTTGCAATTAAATTTTATACCATAACTCCCTCAACCCCCACCCCCTTCCCACCCCACCCACTCTGCACATGCTCTTCCTTAATTGGGGGACACAGCAGATTCTCTTAATTAGCTTGTAAAGATTGGATGAAGATTGTCTCCAAGGCTTTTCAGCACTTGCAGATTGGACTCTATTAGATAATAGAAATAGACAGTATTTTTAAGAGGCTGTAGCTCTTAAAATGAAGATTATTTTAATGACCAAACCCTTCAATTTTCTACTTTCAAAATTATTTTTCCTCATTTATACAAGTTGAAACCCTTAAACCACTGTCCCAGGAATCTAAATGCATGTGAAATTTTGTTTTTATTAAAATTGGTGCAGTGGTTCCAGAGAAGAAGTCAACAAGAGGCCCAAGGGACTTGAATCGCTCTTCTGATAAATTACACAATCTATCCTAAGACCCAAGATGCATCAACTGACAAAGTTTGATGATTCTTAGCCAGTTAGGGCTGAAGATATTTAAATGTAACAATAAAATACTATAAGTAGGTCATGGTGACCTACTTTTTGATTGAAATTTTCTGAGGACACAAGATGCATTAATTGACAAAGATTGATTCCCCGCAATAAGTACTTGAGATATTCAAAAGTGGGTCACAGTGACCTACTTATTTCCTATTTCTAACGCAAAATCAACGTGCATAAACTGACAAAATTTGACAATTCTAAGCCAATTTACCCTAGAATACTTAAAAAAGTGAAATATAATCTCGAAATTTATAGCCAACGATTCTAATATTTTATACTTGAAGTTATCTTCCAAAGTCGAATCAACGAAAAGTTTTTTCCTATATCTTAAACACTATCCTGTATTACAAAACATGCAGTCTTTATGGTAAAGTCTAGGCATATTCGCAATAAATATTAAGAAAAACAATGCTGTTGTTTTCTTTATCGTGTATAATTGTAAAACAATTCAATATGCATGCCTTATTGCATATTCAGCAAATTTACATTTTCCGGGCCATGCTGACGTGGTCAAACGGGATGTATCATTAGCGTTATAGTTGAAGAACCTTCTCCGTAAGCCAATAAGTAAGACGAGATTTTTTAAAAACATAATTTGAAATTTAGTGCAAAATGTTTTTAAAAAAAACGTATTCAAACTGTGTACTTGATATTAATAGCTTACATGTATAACATTATAAGTACTACTAAGGAACACATAGTTTACGAAACTAACAATGCAAATGGCGGTCAAGGTTATCTATTTATACACAGATAAACATGAATGTAATCAATCACTGTTCATTATGCACTGCAACTTAACTGTTTAAGTTTATTGTGAAATATATTTTTGTTTTATGAATTTAGGAAATTAATTATACAGAGCATAATATTGAATCAATATCGGTAATTTAATTTCCGAGTTGCTGTGAAGTGGTTTGTTTTATCTGTCGTAGACTACACCAAACACCCAAGCTGACATACCAGTTAACCTGTCACAGATACCCAACATGAGCTTGGGATTAATTATGATTCCCCAGGTTTGAAGGTGTTAATTAATAGCCACTGGCGAGAATGTGTGAAGTCACGATGCCAGGTGTGTTCAATAGACCGAAAAATTCACTGCACTTCGAGATGTGCAAGGTAAAAAAGGGCTTGGGACTTTGAATGTGCTTCGACATAAGCGGGGTATTCGAGATTACCGTTTTCGAGATATCAGGTGTTTTTTAAATCATATAGAGAGAAAATGACCGGGACCGGCGATCGACTTCGACATAAGCGGGGTATTCGAGATATCCCATGTTTGAGATACTGATATTTACCTGTAGCCATAAATGTCACAAGTAGGTCAGTGTGACTATATTTTGATCATCATTAAGAACAGTAGACCCAAAATGCATCAAATAACAAAGTTTGATGATTTTAAACCAGTCAATACCTAAATATAGCCATAAAATGACAAAAGTAGGTCACTGTGACCTACTTTTTGACCTACTTTTTGGTTGACATTCTCCAAAAACATAAGATGCATCAAATGACAAAGTTTGATGATTCTAAGCCAATCAGTACCTGAGATACATAAAACTAGCCATAAAATGTCAAAAATAGGTCACTGTGACAAAATTTGATGATTCTAAACCAATTAGTACCTGAGATACATACAACTAGATGCATCAAATGACAAAGTTTGATGATTCTAAGCCAATAAGTATCTGAGATACTAAAATATAGCCATAAAATGTCAAAAGTAGGTCACTGTGACCTACTTTTTGGTCGTTAATCTCCGAAAACCCAAAATGCATCAACTGACAAATTTTAATGATTCTAAGCCAATTAGTACCCGAGGTACTTA